CATATGGAGTTTAAACTCCTAATTTTCCACTTTTGTACTTTATTGTTTGTAACAAAAGGGAAGCTTGTGTACCTTAACTTTAATAATTGTTGATGCCAATGTTGCCCATTATACTTATTTTTAGTTTGGGGCTTTCCATGTCTTTATTTATACTACTGTAATCATTGTATATATATTCATCTGAAGACAGTGAATTCGATAACATAAAACAATGGCCTTAACTTCAAGTCCTTGCAAAATTCTATAATGTACTATTATTTTTTTTAAAAAAGATTTGATTGATATTTTAATTTTTATATCATCTTCATTTCCCAATACATCCTTCCCTATTCTTCACCCAGATAGCCAGACCTTATAATAAAGAATAAAAAAAGAGAGCAGAAAAAGCACTTCAACAAAGGTAAACAACATATCAATCAAGTCCAACTAAATATATGAAGTATTCCATACCCATAATTCCTACCTCCCACCTTTGCAAAGAATAGAGGGAGATGCCTTCTCATTTTTCTTAATAGGGTCAAGCCTGGTCTAAAATGAATTATTAATGGGATTGATTTACAAGCATTGAGAAAGGAAAACTGTGATCATTAAGATCCTGTACGGGTTCAAGGACAATCTTGATAGACTAACCTCATTCCTTTTTGACAGGATTACTAGAATGGTTAAATGAGGGAAATTCCATAATAGGATTTCAGTCCTCCCTTCCCCCAAAAAAGACAAGAACTCCCATATTGTTTTTAGAGCAAAAATGCAAAAATATGGGGCTGATAATAGTTTTGTTCAAAAGATTCAGAAGTGTTAATAATTAGTGGTGAAAGAGGGGTGCTCTCTTACAATCTCTTGGTGGGGAGAAGATAAATATAAAATCTTGCATTTGGGTTTGAATCAACTATATAATTTCAAGATGAGAAATGCATAACTAGACAAGATTTTGGAAAAGATCTGGGGGTTTTAGTGGATAGAAATCTCAGTAAGTCAAAAGGATAACACAGCAGCCAAACTTATGCATCACTAGAAAGAGAATGTCCAAAATGAGAGAAGTAGTAAGATCAGACCTAAAGTATTGCATGTGATCTTGAGCACCACATTTTATGAAGGACTATGGCAAATTGGAGCAAGCCCAGAGGAAGGCAACCAGGAGAGAGCAAATTAAGGACTAGAGAGCATATCATATATGGAACAGTCGAAGGAACTAGAAATATTTGGCCTAGAGAAGAACAAAGTTAGGGAGCATATTTGATTGTCTTTAAGAATTTGAAGGACTTTCTTACAGAAAAGAGGTAAGATTAGTTTGTCCTAGTCCTAGAAGCAGAATTTAAAACAATTAGGAAAAATTGGACAGAGGAAGATTTTAGCTTGACACAAAGAGAAATATCCCAATAATTAAAGTGGTCCAAAAGCAGAATGTTTTCCTTCGGGTGAAAGTGAGTTCTGTATGACTTGGCAGCAGAGATTGGATGACTTCTTGTCTTGGATGTTATGAAAAGCATTGCATTTCAAGTTTAAGGTCATGGATCTGGGGCTATGAAGGACCTCAGAGGCTATCTATAATCTATAGATTTCTTATCTGTAAAATGGAAATAATACTTTACATTCCCTCAGGGGATATTATTAAGGACAAACTTTAAATAATTCTATAAACAAGTTACTGTTATTACTATAAATAACAGCAACAATGCTTTTTGGATGTTAGTATACCATTAGACACAATCTTAAACAACACATGCTGTATTTAAAAGTCTTTGTCCACTTCACATAACTATTCATTGAAGATGTCCTTGTTAAGAACAGTATTGTTGTTATTATTTTTTGTTTTGGGTTAGGCAACTGGGGTTAAGTGACTTGCCTAGCATCACACAGCTAGTGTCAAGTGTCTGATGTCACATTTGAACTCAGGTCCTGCTGACTCCAGGGACAGTACTCTATCCACTGCGCCACTTAGCTGCCCCCAGAACAGTTTTATTATTATTATTATTATTATTAAATATACTGAATATTAAAATTCTTTCTAAATACCAGTGTTTAGGATGATGGGGCTATTCCAGGTGGTCATATGTAGAGATAAAATGGGAATTGTGATATTGACAGTTTATAAAATAATTTATGGCGCTTCATAGAATCACAGTATCTCAGATCTATCTAACCAAAACTCCCCATCTCAATTTTTTCAAAGTATAGGTACATAAAAAATGTATTCTTTACTGAATTTGGCTCAACATTCTAGCCTATCAAGATCTATTTAGACTCTGTCAACCAATGTGCTGTCTTTCCCTTCTAGCTTTGTGTCATATGTAATTTGATAAGTAGGCATGTATTCAAGTTGCTAATAAAATTCCTTTTTTTCTCTAGAAATTCACTAACTATTCCTTTAATAATATGCCCTAGAATTTTTGCCAGGAATCAAAGTCAAACTCATTGGCCTCTAGTTGCAGATGCCATTTTTCTCCCTTTTTTTTAAAAAAAAAAAAAAAACTGGGTCAGTATTTGCTCTTGTAAGACCTCTCACATGTGCCATTATGTTTCAAAAATCATTCACAATAATTCTGCAATTACATCTGCCCCTTTTTTTTTTAATTCTGGGGGAGCCTCATAACTCCTTTTCCTATTCTTTTAGATGTGACATTAAGTTTTTTAATGTATTTTTATCTATAATCTATAATCATGCCTCCAATTTAATAAGGTATTGTTAAGATAGATAAGATAAAATGGGATATGTGAAAGTACTGTGCGTTCTTAAGGGGAAGGCACTAAGTAAGCCCAAGGCTGCAGATTTCTTTCCTGATTGCTTTTTAGCCTAAAATTGAAGGTATACATAGGCAAAGCCTGGAATAAACGTTTGTTAGTATGGATATTGGTCACCAGGGGGGAGGCCACAGCACATCAGTGATGGGAAAACTACATTGAAGGTGATGGAAAAATAGACAAATTTTAAGTAAAGCTGGCAGTGTTGGGAAAAGTATTAGTGTTCTTCATCTCTGCCTCTCAAAAATTCTCTAATATAACCCAAAATGCACAGGCTGCACCTGATATTTGTAGGAAAAACAAATTCCTACTTCTCTAGGTGTGGTATCTGATAGCACAAAGCAGGGAATTTTGCAAGTAATTTCACATTGGAGGAATCTGCCATTTTGTTCATGATCTCTACAATATTAAATCGGTATATAACCTTTAATAAGCTGTAAAGGTTATTAAAAGGAAAAAAAAATTTCAGCCTGTAATCTAGTCCCTAAAAATTTCTCAAAATTAACTTAAATTAACTCAGTGATGCATCCATTCCTTGCTTTACTCCTGGTAACAAAACCATAGAATGTTAGAGCTGGAAGAGATATAGAACATAGAGCTGGAATCAACTTTAAAGCAGGGAATGTCAGGATTAACCTGTAAAATGTACATATAATATACATATGTAATATACACGTATATAACCAGCTATAATCTAGTTAAGAAGAAATATTATGAATTAATTCGCTGATTCAGATAGTTGCTTTAAAAAGATACTTCCTAATGGGGCAGCTAGGTGGCACACAGGATAGAGCACAGGCCCTGAAGTCAGGAGGACCTGAGTTGAAATCTGGTCTCAGACCAGACACTTGACACTTACTAGTTGTGTGACCCTGGGCAAGTCACTTAACCCCAACTGCCACACCAAGAAAAAGAAAAATATACTTCCTAATAAACCATATCCTCAGCACAAGAAATAAATGGTAAGTGCATTTTCATTTGCCTTAAGAAGCATGCATTGTTTTCATCAGTCTTAATAAAATGATGAGGCTAAGGAGTAAAAAGATCACTTACATATACTTATATTTGTGAATTGCTTCCAAAGTAAAAGCTGTATTTTCCCTCCACGTTAATTTTATGTATATTCACTAATCTGTTTCCCCAATTTGACTTAACAGTAATGGGATACAGGGCAATAGGTAGGGGGATTTAGTTAAGGGATAGGATCCTCACAGATAATGCTTTAACCTAAAAGACCCAGACACAGGCCTGCAACAAAGTAAGTATAAGCTGTGTTAATTACCCAGAAGACACTAGATAAGTACATGGTTTTAATTATACAGTTGGTAATACTTTTTATTTTTGACAAGTCTTTTTAATGAAAGAATTTTCAATTATTTTAGATATACTATTATTAATCATCACAATATTCCTGTGGTAGTTCCATGAATTATTATGAGTCTTATTCTAACTAATAGGGATTAGATGTAAAAGGACTACATGAAAAAAGTTAACAAAGACAACAGAATCTAACTCTTAGTCCTTGTTAACATATCCATCCACAAATTTTTATTGAGCACTTACAGAGTGCATGAGAAGCAGTGTGGTGCAGTGGATAGAGAGCTAGACCTGAAGTCAGGAAGCTTTGGGGTAAAGTTCTACCTCTAACACACACTGGTTGTGTAATCCTGGGCAAGTCACTCTCAGTGTGACCCTGGGCAAGTCACTCAATCCTTCAGTGCTCCTAGACAACTCCCTAAAATGATAAATTGTAGAACAGTTGCAGATTTGTATTAGTAGAGTTACCTAAACCAATGAAATCAGATCTGTACCCCATCCTCTTCCAATATTTAGATGGTACCTGAAGATCATAAATGAAATAAGAGTAGGTCAAATAATCTCTTCTATCCTTAGGGTAAGGTTAGCCCAGGAATCATGTAGATCAAAGCTAATAACAGCCAATATTATTTAAGTGCCTCCTAGGTACAAGGTGCTATGTACTGAAGAGGGATAGAGATGAAGTATAAGACAGAGTCCTTTCTCACTAGCTCCCCAACTGGCCTCCCCACTATAATCTAGTTGAGAAGAAATATTATGAATGAATTCATTGATTCAGTTAGTACTTACTAAGTGCAAAACCTATACATAGGTGCTATGAATACAAATATGAAAAATGCCACATTTCTTGCCCTCATGGAGCTTATAATCCAGTTGCATAGAAAGCAAAGAACAAAAGGCTAAGTACTAAGATCACACCTTGGAGTGAAGATATGTTTTACCTGAGAAGGGATCACAAGTGACAGACTGATTATTGCATTGGCAGGGCAGACAGCCATTCTCATTGAAGCCATAATACCCATCTTGGCAGTGGTCACATTTGGAACCTCCAACACCCACTTTACACTGGCATTTCCCAGAACTGCAAAGAAAAACAGGGAAATTAAACAAAAGTTAAATCATCTCAATTTTTTTTTTTTTACTGCTAAACAGACCACAACAGACAACCCCATTATTGGAAACAAATTTAACTAAGAGCATTAGGAGTGATTTTCATGAACTGGGAGTGTAGAAGCCCTGTGACTAAACACATTCAGTTATTCTGGTGCTGATCCCAATCATTTCTGACACCTTCATCCTCTGCATTCTGGGGTAGCTTAAAATGAATGTTCATAGAACACAAGGTCTCTACTTTCCAGAAGCATTCTTGTTTACCAAGCTCTATATTCTTGTTATATAGTCATCTATTTCCTGGATCATCCTATATTACATTAGAATTCACTCTTCAGGACATGGAGAAATTAAAGAAATATCACTCGTTATTTATTCTATTTCACATCTAACAAGAGAGAATGAAGACAAACACATGTAAGTATGACTTTAAGGGAAAAGCACATTATAAATATGAATTTGTTATTATTGTTATATATGAGATTTAAGAATCACTCACATCTATAGAGGGCTTCACAGTTTGCAAGATTTTCCCTTCAAAACACACAGGTTATCATTATTGCACACAGAGAAAAGGGACATGTGCCACAAAAGAGATGCACTCCCTCCTTGCAGTGGTACAGTGGGGTACCATGACCTTCCCCTTTGGGTGGGGCTGACTACAGACTCCTGGACCTTTTGGGAGATTCCCCCACAAAAGGGCCCACGTAGATAGGGAAATACACCTATTCTCAAGTGGTCAGGCTATGTTTTAACCCATTTTATTTGTAGAGCATTCAAATTGATTTCATTCATTCAAGAAATATTTATTAAGAACCTACCATGTACAGAGTCCTGTGCTAGACTTTGGGGGAGATATAAAGGTTACATAAAATATAGGTCCTCCCCTCATGGAACTGTGTAATATAGTTGGGGGATAAGACTTAAGCATAAATAATTATAATATGTAATACAACATGATAAGTACATTAGAGAGGCATTAAAGTATTTTGTGAGGTCTGAGGGAAAAGGTCATTACCAAGGTGGTAGGAGAGAGAGAGATTAGGGAAGGCTTCCTAAAGGAGGTATCATTTGGAATTAGAATATAGTGCAACTTTGCTTGTTCAAAAATTCCTGACAGCTTTAGCCAAATAGCATTCTGCAAAACTACCAACACAAGTTACATATGCATATCAGTCTGCTTTATGGAGTAGATATTAAGACTCTTATAGAAGGCCTTTTGGAGTAGAAAAACATGCAATTAGTGCCAGAAACAGCTAGCAGGCTCTGGCTCTCAAGTATAGAAACAAATCATCTCTTCATATAGATCAGAAACAATGCTGAAGGCACATCTCTTTTGTTACAAAAATCAAAAACATTTTATCAAAGGAGCCTTCAGGATGATTAAAAGACTACTGGGGAAATGTTTTTTGACTGACAAAAATATGACAGAAGACAAACACAAAAAATTACTTTCTGGAACTGTGTCATATCTATTAAAAAGAAGTAAATTGGCTGTCATGTCTATAGTCCTTTGAGTGCATTGAAACCTTTCATTCTGGCTTTCTATCAACACGTGCAGACACTCCCTGACCAATGCTCTCTCTATATAAATGGTCACTGCTATCCTGCCTCTGCACCCAATACCCCTCCTCAAATGCTACTGAAAAATGGGCTTGTCCGCCTGCCCAGTCTCTATTCCTATCTCCATAATTTCAGGTATCATAGCCCCCACACCTCAACAACAAATGCTGACAGAATTAATCTGCTATGCTGTCATGAGATCTGCCTAGTCCTCAATCCTTAACTTCTTTTGCTTCCCTTAGGATGTAGAGAAGTTAAATATTTAGGCATTGGGCTCAAAGGGTTCAGGACTTATAAGGGCTTTAATAGGATTCTGGCTTATGAGAAGTTCAGGGTCATGCTTCAAAAAGACATGGGACTTTGACTCAGAGAAAAAAATAATAATGAAAACAACAAAAACAACAACTGTTGCTTATCCAGCAAAGTAAGGTAGCATCACATAGTGGACAGAGAGCTGATCTTGCAGCCAGGAAGACCTAGCTATGAGGTTCAGATCCTATGGTATCGGCTTCTGTTTCTGACACGCTGGCTGTATGGACCTGGGCAAGTTATATAACCTCTCCATGTTCTGGGCAACTCTCTAAGATTTTAAGTTCCAGAGAAGGTGCCGACATGAATGGGTGGAGGAATTCTCTCACCAGAAGCTCCCCACACTGATGAAATCACAAGTTCATTCTGTATCTGGATTTGTTTAGCACTTTCAAGTTTGCAAAGAGCTTCACATACTATATGTACTATTTCAGTGGTATAGATTAAATGGCTTTTTGTGGACTGAGAGGTTATTCAGCAACCAACTTACAATCAATATGCTGGAACAAACTTTCAAAAGTTGGAAGCAACCTGTATTGAAGCTACTCTTTCCCGAAGGAAATCTTTTACATTTTATCACCGATCAACTTTGGTAGAAAAATGTGAATGTGACAGAGTAAGATCTATTCAAGTCATCAGTGCTTTGGATTTGTCTTTTCTCTATTCATGTCTACTCTCTCAAAATAGCTTTGGACACAATGTAGTACATTCAGTCAGAGGATAGAGTAAATGTGCAGCTTTGATGTGTGTATTATGGGTGTCAAGAGGCAGTGTTGTAGTGGACAGAGAACTGTGCTTGAAGCCAGGAAGATGTGGGTTTAAGTACCACCTCAGACACTAGCTATGTGACCCTGAGTTCAGTGCTTTAGGCAACTCTAAGGCTAAATTGCAGAGAAGGTGCCAAACTGCCTTAGTAGAGAGTGTTTTCTTTCTTTTTTTTTCTTGATAATTAATTTATTTTTAGTTTTTAACATTTACTTCCATAAGATTTTGCGTTTTAAATTTTCTCCCCCTCCCACTTCACTCAACCCCCTCAAAGGCAGCGTGCAATCTGATATAGGTTCTACTTAAACATTCACATTAAGCATATTTTCCCTTTAGTCATGATGTAAAGAACAATTAGAACTACTGGGAGGAACCACAACAATGAAGCAATAAAACAAAACAGCAAAGGAAAAGAAGAGTAAATAGTATGTTTTGATCTGCATTCAGACTCCACAGTTCCTTCTCTGGATGTGGATAGCAATTTCCATCGTGAGTCTTTTGGAGTTGTCCTAGATTCTTGCATTGCTATGAAGAGCCAAGTCTATCAAAGTCAGTCATCCCACAATGTGGCTGTTACTGTGTACAATGTTCTCCTGGTTCTGCTCATTTTACTCTGCATCAGTTCATGTAAGTCTTTCCAGGTTTTTTGAAGTCTGCCTGTTCATCATTTCTTATAACACAATAGTATTCCATTACATTTATATACCACAACTTGTTTAGCCATTCTCCACTTGATGGGCATCCCTTCAATTTCCAATTCTTTGCCACCACAAAAAGAGCTGCTATAAACATTTTTGTACATGTGGGTCTTTTTCCCATTTTTATGATTTCTTTGGGATACAGACCTAGAAGTGGTATTACTGGGTCCAAGGGTATACACTATTTTATAACCCTTTGGACATAGTTCCAAATTGCTCTCCAGAATGGTTGGATCATTTCACAACTCCATCAACAATGCATTAGTGTTCCAATTTTCCCACATCTTCTCCAACCTTTATCATTGTCCTGTTTTGTCATGTTAGCCAGTCTGATAGGTATGATGTGTTAACTCAGAGTTGTTTTGATTTGCATTTCTCTAATCAATAGTGATTTAGAACATTTTTTCATATGACTGTAGATAGCTTTAATTTCTTCCTCTGAAAACTGTCTGTTCATATCGTTTGATCATTTATCAATTGGGGGATGACTTGTATTCTTATAAATTTTACTCAGTTGTCTATGTATTTTAGAAATGAGGCCTGTATCAGAGGCACTGGTTATAAAAATTGTTTCCCAGTTTTCTGCTTCTCCTCCTAATCTTGGATGCATTGGCTTTGTGCAAAAACTTTTTAATTTAATGTAATCAAAATTATCCATTTTGTATTTCATAATGTTCTCTATCTCTTGCTTGATCATAAATTCTTCCTTTCTCCATAGATCTGAAATGTAAACTATTCCTTGCTCTTCTAGTTTGCTTATAGTATCGATCTTTACATCTAAATCCCGTGCCTATTTTGACTTTATCTTTTTATAGGGTGTAAGATATTGGTCTATGCCCAGTTTCTGCCATACATTTTTTCCATTTTTTCTTCCAGCAGTTTTTGTTAAATAGTGATTTCTTACCCCAGAAGCTAGAGTCTTTGGATTTATCAGATAGTAGATTAGTATAGTCATTGGCTGTTGTATCTTGCATACCTAACCTATTCCACTGATCTACCACTCTATTTCTTAGCCAGCACCAAGTAGTTTTGATGATTGCTGCTTTATAATACAATTTAAGATCTGGCACAGCTAGGCCACTTTCCCTTGCATTTCTTTTCATTAGTTCCAATGATATTCTGGACCTTTTGTTCTTCCAGATGAATTTTTTTATTGTTTTTTCTAGATCTATAAAATAATTTTTGGTAGTTTAATTGATATGGTGCTGAATAAGTAAATTAATTTAGAGTAGAATTGTCATTTTTATGTAAAGAGTGTTTCTAACCCAGAAGATCTTAACGCCAATGATGTAACGGGTCTAGTCTCTATCCTTACCTACTATGGGTATCATTCTCCTGAAAGGGAATGAAATAAGACATAGCTTCTTCCCTGGGTCAGCTTCCTCATCTGTAAAATGAGGGAATTAAGCTATTAAAGAATCACAGTTATCTTGAACCTTAAGTAATTCTCTAGTCACAACCAAACATAGATAGAACTAACTTATACCTCTTCTTTAAAAGTGGTCATTTAGCCTTTCAAGACCTCTAATGATGGAGAGTTCACTGTCTCCCAAGGCTGCTAGTTTCACTTTCAAATAGCTCCATTAGAATGTTTTACTTACATTGAGCCTAATTCTGCCTTTCCATAACTTCCACC